TGTGACTGTATGTGGTTTAGTTTGCACATTAGATAATACTCCGGCTTATTGATGGCGTACTTATGATGATTTTTGCAATATAAGATTGACCATTACGTCCATACGTGACGTTGTCATCCATAGCGAAAACTCATGTGCGCCAAGGGAGATAACTCCCCCAAGTACTCGAGGACTAGCTCACTCGAGTGATGGATCTACCTGAATCGTACGATTACCCGCGTACCCTATTTCAAACCTATGTATGAATACACTATGAAATAGTTTGATAAAGGAATACATTTGATACATTAAAATCCATGTGAGGAATCGATCTCACACACTTGACAGAATTTCTGCTCCATAAAATTTTTGATCGGTCTGTTTATACAAAGTTCAATATCTGGTTGCCATTTACTCAAGTTGACATGGTCACTGGTTTTCATGTGCAAAACATACTTTTCCTTAGTAGGATAATAAAGCTCCCAGAAACTGAATAACTTGCCGTCTATCATAAATTATCTCTGCAGATGGTGGCCGATGGGTATCTATTGCCAAAGAACATTTGAACATGAGAAGTGATACATTTAATTGTTCTTTCCCTTTTGAAATGTCTCGTTTGGTGAATTACGAAGGTCCCGGAATAATACACACAAAATATTCATGCTTGGAATATAACCTTAAAAGTCATAATACTATTATTAAGGTAAGTATGTATATGATACACTTATTTCCATGGGAGAAAGACCCTTTCAAGTGATACTACTATTGGGCAGGATCACGGCTTGGCTTTAAATGGCGTAGAATTGTCTCGTTTGGTGAATTACGAAGGACGCGTAATAAAAGACATAAAATATTCATGCTTGGAAAATATCCTTAGAAGCCATAATGCAATTATTAAGGTAAGTATGTATATGATACACTTATTTCCATGGGAGAAAGACCCTTTGAAGTGATACTACTATTGCGTAGATGCTATGTACGGCTTGCCTTGAAATGGCGTAGAATTGTCTCATTTGGTGAATTACGAAGGACGCATAATAAAAGACACAAAATATTCATGCTTGGAATATATCCTTAGAAGCCATAATGCAATTATTAAGGTAAGTATGTATATGATACACTTATTTCCATGGGAGAAAGACCCTTTGAAGCGATACTACTATTGCGTAGATGCTATGTACGGCTTGCCTTGAAATGGCGTAGAATTGTCTCATTTGGTGAATTACGAAGGACGCATAATAAAAGACACAAAATATTCATGCTTGGAATATATCCTTAGAAGCCATTATGCAATTATTAAGGTAAGTATGTATATGATACACTTATTTCCGTGGGAGAAAGACCCTTTCAAGTGATACTACTATTGCGTAGGTGCTATGCATACGGCTTGCCTTGAAATGGCGTAGAATTGTCTCGTATGGTGAATTACGAAGGACGCGTAATAAAAGACATAAAATATTCATGCTTGGAATATATCCTTAGAAGCCATAATGCAATTATTAAGGTAAGTATGTATATGATACACTTATTTCCGTGGGAGAAAGACCCTTTCAAGTGATACTACTATTGGGCAGGATCACGGCTTGGCTTTAAATGGCGTAGAATTGTCTCATTTGGTGAATTACGAAGGACGCGTAATAAAAGACACAAAATATTCATGCTTGGAATATATCCTTAGAAGCCATTATGCAATTATTAAGGTAAGTATGTATATGATACACTTATTTCCGTGGGAGAAAGACCCTTTCAAGTGATACTACTATTGCGTAGGTGCTATGCATACGGCTTGCCTTGAAATGGCGTAGAATTGTCTCGTATGGTGAATTACGAAGGACGCGTAATAAAAGACATAAAATATTCATGCTTGGAATATATCCTTAGAAGCCATAATGCAATTATTAAGGTAAGTATGTATATGATACACTTATTTCCATGGGAGAAAGACCCTTTCAAGTGATACTACTATTGCATAGACGCTATGTACGGCTTGCCTTGAAATGGCGTAGAATTGTCTCATTTGGTGAATTACGAAGGACGCGTAATAAAAGACACAAAATAATCATGCTTCGAATATATCCTTAGAAGCAATAATGCAATTATTAAGGTAAGTATGTATATGATACACTTATTTCCATGGGAGAAAGACCCTTTCAAGTGATACTACTATTGGGCAGGATCACGGCTTGGCTTTAAATGGCGTAGAATTGTCTCATTTGGTGAATTACGAAAGACGCGTAATAAAAGACACAAAATATTCATGCTTGGAATATATCCTTAGAAGCCATAATGCAATTATTAAGGTAAGTATGTATATGATACACTTATTTCCGTGGGAGAAAGACCCTTTCAAGTGATACTACTATTGGGCAGGATCACAGCTTGGCTTTAAATGGCGTAGAATTGTCTCATTTGGTGAATTACGAAGGACGCGTAATAAAAGACACAAAATATTCACGCTTGGAAAATATCCTTAGAAGCCATAATGCAATTATTAAGGTAAGTATGTATATGATACACTTATTTCCGTGGGAGAAAGACCCTTTCAAGCGATACTACTATTGGGCAGGATCAAGGCTTTCTCGCATGTTCATGAATGTGTAACAGACAAATGTACTAATGTTTACCCTCTCCCCCCATTTCACACACAAAATATTGTTGATTTTACATTCAAATGGGTCGAACTTTCGCAGCTATAGACTCGGGAGTGAAACACTAAATAAATCACAATGATTTAAGAATCTCATTTTCTAGTACAAAATAATACGCCAGCCAGAAATATTTTACGTCCGTTTCCTAAGATTCACGGAAAGTGTTGAAATAATTTCGATTTATAAATAAGATAAAACATCTTAGGTCATGTACAGGAGAATTGTGTCTGGTTGTTCCATGATCTTTCACCATCAGTTTGTCATAGTGGAAACAGAACTCGTATGTACCTCGAATGCTCCACTGATAATATTTGTGTCATTTTTTGGAACCGGACTGTAATGTATGAACACACAATACCATTTAAAGAGTGGTCAAATGTAACATGTTATGTTTGGGGTTAACGCTTTCTTAGTAAAGTACAGATTCTAGTTTTTTGGGGGGCTGAGTTCCATCCGGATCCGGGATTCGAACCAACACTGCCAGAGTGAGGCACCTAATCGCCAGCACACAAAGTCAGTGACCTAACCCACTCAGCCACCGAGGCTTCCACAAAAATGAAAGTCCGACAACTAGAATATGTACTTAACTAAGAAAGTGTTATCCCAAATATAACATTTATTACATACTGTAATATAGCTCTAATGGTTATCTTGCATTAAAAATCACGAACAAGCTTTTACTTTTGTTATGTAGTTAGTTCCAAATGAAACGCAAGATCAATGAATAATTAACAAATCTCATTGAAACACGTGGAAGCTCGCATCACAACAGCAGCCCAGGGTCGCTACCTTCAGGTCTTCAACACAGGACACTAACTGCAACGTCCTGTGCAACACCAATTCTTGGTCTACGTCCCATACGTCCACGGCCATAACCATTAACGAGCAATATCCGAGCCATAAGGCCCTACCACTGCCAACGCGAAGACGTCGGGGTTTTCTTTCCCTATGTGGTCCTTGAGAGAGAAGCGAAGAAACATTCATTACAGCTGATTAAATGGTGAACATCCAGAAAGTGTCCGGCGTTGGGTTTTTTAAGCAAAAGATAGACGAAATAACCCCATGCCTGTTGCTCTGCCAATTTCGTTAAGCAAACAAAAATCATCTGGGAAGTGGAATTTACGGAAGCCTTTTAGGGCCATTTGTTTTTTATATTCTTTTCGATACTATCTTGAAATTTCAAGATGCTAAGTTGAAATTTCAAGATACTAGTTGATATTTCAAGACATAGAAGTTGAAATTTCAAGATATAAGTTGAAATTTCAAGATAGTATCTTGAAATTTCAACTTAGTTTCTTTAAATTACAACTTAGTATCTTGAAATTTCAAGATAGTATCGAAAAAAATCTAAAAATCTAAGGCCCTAAAAGGCTTCCGTAGTAATTTATATCAAGATCCCCGTAAGTATTTTAAACAGCTGTGAAAAAACTAGTTTTCTTTTTCTGTTTAGCGTCAATACGTTTTAGTTCACATTCTGTTGCCTGTTGAATGTCTGACCACGCCCGCATTCACGTCACGTGACGTTGTATATAATTTCTCTTCATTATGAAGAACCCTTTTCCTTAAAGGTAAAGGTTTTGTAACACAAATCCATTCTTCCTTTAAAAGAAAATTATGGTATTAGTGCTAGTCCGGCAAAGCGAGTCTGTGAAACATTGGCCTTTTGATTGTAAACATTTCTTAAAACTTACGGGTTTTTACGCCAAGCTGAAAATTTGACTTGATACCATTGATAGCTGAGTCACTGCCAAGTTTATAACATGCAAGCACAAAGGTAATGACGTCATGTGTTTGAGCTCTGACGTCACCAGTTTCAGACCGTCTGTGAAAATCTATTAGATTTACTATATGGGAGATTTCAACCAGACTGGTCTCCTTCTGTGTGTTGCGCAACTGGCATAATTATAAAGAGACGGACTCCAAATCTAATATTTGTGTAAGCCTGACAGGTACAGATAGTAGTTAAAATAAACTCGAAAAATATCTTTTGACATTATTTTAAAAAGAAAATGCATATTGGTGGAATAATGCAACTGCATCCCCAACTTGATCTATGGTATAAACTCGATCTATGGTATACAACTGTAAATGAAAACGATGAAAATAGAGATAATGACAAAACTAGCATTATTTGTATGTGTGGGTCAGAGGGCGTTCCTCCAATGTCTCACAGTGCCTGGACCATATTTTATTCCCTTCCGCCCGGCCCTTTCTGCAATGCAACAGCCCGAAATGAAGCAAATCTAGATTTTCCTCACATTCTCAATGGGGCTCCTTTTTTAAATTAAATGGAGCTGTTTCTTTTAAAATATTATATTTTCAGAGACGAAGCGTAAGTCTAGCACCATCCAACACGACCTTGAACTTTCTTGAACAAAATGGCGGCCAGGAAGCGATTTTTATGAATGATAACCACAATGTTTGCTGTTTTATAAGCAAAATATGATATGTCAGGGGATGTCTTGTCAGCCCGTGGATACATAAGGTAGTATCTTTCCTTATCAATACTTTTTAAAATATTTTGCATATATAGATAAAGTTGTAGCCACGGATATAGCAAGACTTGCATTCGACTGCACCAACAGGCACTGCTGGGTGCGGTCGAGGCAAGACGTGCTCCTTGGTGTCAATTAAGGGAAATAATGGAGCAATGTTCATTAATAGTATGACCGCTAATTGTAAATGAACAGCATTCTTGTATACACAGATGCGTTGTAAGTGTATCCAGTGTGAATTTGGATTGTTTTTACCTTTTCTCTTAAAAACTAACTCGCATGATATCTCTCTCATATTGTCAGCCTAAAGTTTGTTAAAAAGCTCTCTTGCCAAAGTATCGTTTGGTTTAAATGGCAACCACACAATCGTTGGCCATTACCTGTGTGTTATTTGTTCAGATAATTTAAAATATTTGAAGTGGCCACTGACTATGGTATTTAATTGAATCTAGCATGCTTTGACCGTTACTTTGCCTCAATTGCGTGGATCGATGTTCATGATATCAATCACTGGATTGTCTGGTCCAGACTCGATTAGCTGGAATGTTGCTGAGTGCGGGGTTAAACAACAAACCAACCTACCAACCAGTACAATTATGTGTAATCTACAGGGCACTGCAAGCAGTAACCTTGATTTTCTGTTTAGAAACACATTTTGACTCAGAGCAGTTCATGCTTGAAGAATGAAAAAAATAGTCTAGTCACTTGATAAAAAAATGGTTAAATATCTTTAAAAAACTTTCAGACTTAATTCCTCAGAGACCACAGGCTGAAAGACTTTGCTATGATGTGTAATAAACAATGGGAATTATAATATAACTTATTTTTATGAATTGATTTTTACCTAAATTAAGTTAACTTTTTCAAACCTTGCAAGAAACTACAGGGCTGAGGAAGCTGCAGTGGTATGGTGCTCAAAGCTGTACATGCCAGTTGTTGTTGTTGTTGTTACAGTGGTATGGTGCTCAAAGCTGTACATGCCAGTTGTTGTTGTTGCTGTTGCAGTGGTATGGTGCTCAAAGCTGTACATGCCAGTTGTTGTTGTTGTTGCTGCAGTGGTATGGTGCTCAAAGCTGTACATGCCAGTTGTTGTTGTTGCAGTGGTATGGTGCTCAAAGCTGTACATGCCAGTTGTTGTTGTTGTTGCAGTGGTATGGTGCTCAAAGCTGTACATGCCAGTTGTTGTTGTTGTTGCAGTGGTATGGTGCTCAAAGCTGTACATGCCAGTTGTTGTTGTTGTTGCAGTGGTATGGTGCTCAAAGCTGTACATGCCAGTTGTTGTTGTTGTTGTTACAGTGGTATGGTGCTCAAAGCTGTACATGCCAGTTGTTGTTGTTGTTGTTACAGTGGTATGGTGCTCAAAGCTGTACATGCCAGTTGTTGTTGTTGCTGTTGCAGTGGTATGGTGCTCAAAGCTGTACATGCCAGTTGTTGTTGTTGTTGCTGCAGTGGTATGGTGCTCAAAGCTGTACATGCCAGTTGTTGTTGTTGCAGTGGTATGGTGCTCAAAGCTGTACATGCCAGTTGTTGTTGTTGTTGCAGTGGTATGGTGCTCAAAGCTGTACATGCCAGTTGTTGTTGTTGTTGCAGTGGTATGGTGCTCAAAGCTGTACATGCCAGTTGTTGTTGTTGTTGCAGTGGTATGGTGCTCAAAGCTGTACATGCCAGTTGTTGTTGTTGCAGTGGTATGGTGCTCAAAGCTGTACATGCCAGTTGTTGTTGTTGCAGTGGTATGGTGCTCAAAGCTGTACATGCCAGTTGTTGTTGTTGTTGTTACAGTGGTATGGTGCTCAAAGCTGTGCATGCCAGTTGTTGTTGTTGTTGTTGCAGTGGTATGGTGCTCAAAGCTGTACATGCCAGTTGTTGTTGTTGTTGCAGTGGTATGGTGCTCAAAGCTGTACATGCCAGTTGTTGTTGCTGCAGTGGTATTGTGCTCAAAGCTGTACATGCCAGTTGTTGCTGTTGCAGTGGTATGGTGCTCAAAGCTGTACATGCCAGTTGTTGTTGCTGCAGTGGTATGGTGCTCAAAGCTGTACATGCCAGTTGTTGTTGTTACAGTGGTATGGTGCTCAAAGCTGTACATGCCAGTTGTTGTTGTTGTTGCAGTGGTATGGTGCTCAAAGCTGTACATGCCAGTTGTTGCTGTTGCAGTGGTATGGTGCTCAAAGCTGTACATGCCAGTTGTTGCTGTTGCAGTGGTATGGTGCTCAAAGCTGTACATGCCAGTTGTTGCTGTTGCAGTGGTATGGTGCTCAAAGCTGTACATGCCAGTTGTTGTTGTTGTTGTTGTTGTTGTTGTTTGTTGTGTAACGCCACATTCAGCAGTATTCCAGCTATATGACAGCATATATGTAAATAATCAGGCTGGACCAGACATCCGGTGCTTTAAAATCATGACAATCAATTGATCTATGCAAGTAGGATGCAACAACATGCATCAACCAAGTCAGCAAGCCTGACCACCCAATCCCATTAGCCGCTTCTTACGACAAGCATGGATTGCTGAAGATCAATTGTAACCCATGTCTTCACTGATTGTTCATGCCAGTCAAATGTCTTTTTGAAAATTAAAAACAACAACACTTTTTCTGAGATAGGGCCCGGCATGGAGAGATGATACCTTAAATCATACAAAGTTTCTCATGCCAGTCAAATATAAAAAGTACCTTTCTCATAAGAAATGGCAAAAATCTTTTGCAGGTTTGAAATTAACAGAAATCCTTAATATAATGAATTGTTCTTTTATATGTTTGAAAATAAGGTGGTCCTGGGTTCCTTCAGGTTTGTTGCTATAGTATTTGATTCAAGGAAGCTCCTGAAATTTTGAACTTTTCACATTAGGGCTATGACAAGTACTCTTTGAGTCTCATGCTTAATTTCGAACCCTGTTTTAGGTCTCAGAAGATTTGTTTCATTTGTTTGACATCGTCCACTCAGCATGCTCAGGTTCATCCGGAGAATTTCATTCAGGATCATGTTTATCATTGTTATCCAATTTGAAATGAGTAATTTTGTTGCAGCTGAGGACCACTGCCACCAGCTGTTGGTCACACCATCACCACCACCCACAACAGAGAACTGGGCACAGAGTACACAGTCGCTAATGTAGAGTCTTTAGGCTAAGCCAGGAGAGACACACAAACACAACCGGACACATTGATGGTAGGGACAAGACAAGGTTTTATTATTATGTTGAGTAGAGACAAGCACCTGACAGCCCCTGTTGAATAGACACATGCATCTGACAGCCCCTGTTGAGTAGAGACATGCACCTGACAGCCCCTGTTGAGTAGAGACATGCACCTGACAGCCTCTGTTGAGTAGAGACGAGCACCTGACAGCCCCTGTTGAGTAGAGACATGCACCTGACAGCCCCTGTTGAGTAGAGACGAGCACCTGACAGCCCCTGTTGAGTAGAGACATGCACCTGACAGCCCCTGTTGAGTAGAGACATGCACCTGACAGCCCCTGTTGAGTAGAGACAAGCACCTGACAGCCCCTGTTGAGTAGAGGGGTGCACCTGACAGCCCCTGTTGAGTAGAGACATGCACCTGACAGCCCCTGTTGAGAAGAGACTTGCATCTGACAGCCCCTGTTGAATAGAGACATGCACCTGACAGCCCCTGTTGAGAAGAGACTTGCATCTGACAGCCCCTGTTGAGTAGAGACATGCACCTGACAGCCCCTGTTCAGTAGAGACATGCACCTAACAGCCCCTGTTGAATAGAGACATGCACCTGACAGCCCCTGTTGAGTAGAGACATGCACCTGACAGCCCCTGTTGAGTAGAGACTTGCATCTGACAGCCCCTGTTGAGTAGAGGAGTGCACCCGACAGCCCCTGTTGAGAAGAGACATGCACCTGACAGCCCCTATTGAGTAGAGACATGTACCTGACAGCCACTGATCTGACATTCCTTCACTTGTTCACCTGTTCACTGATCTCACATGCCTTCTCTTGTTCACCTGTTCACTGATTCACATGCCTTCGCTTGTTCACTGATTCACATGCCTTCTATTGTTCACCTGTTCACTGATCTCACATGCCTTCACTTGTTCACCTGTTCACTGATCTCACATGCCTTCTCTTGTTCACTGATTCACATGCCTTCACTTGTTCACCTGTTCACTGATCTCACATGCCTTCACTTGTTCACCTGTTCACTGATCTCACATGCCTTCACTTGTTCACCTGTTCACTGATCTCACATGCCTTCTCTTGTTCACTGATTCACATGCCTTCACTTGTTCACCTGTTCACTGATCTCACATGCCTTCACTTGTTCACTGATTCACATGCCTTCACTTGTTCACCTGTTCACTGATCTCACATGCCTTCACTTGTTCACTGATTCACGTGCCTTCACTTGTTCACCTGTTCACTGATCTCACATGCCTTCACTTGTTCACCTGTTCACTGATCTCACATGCCTTCTCTTGTTCACTGATTCACATGCCTTCACTTGTTCACCTGTTCACTGATCTCACATGCCTTCACTTGTTCACCTGTTCACTGATCTCACATGCCTTCACTTGTTCACCTGTTCACTGATCTCACATGCCTTCACTTGTTCACCTGTTCACTGATCTCACATGCCTTCTCTTGTTCACTGATTCACATGCCTTCACTTGTTCACCTGTTCACTGATCTCACATGCCTTCACTTGTTCACTGATTCACATGCCTTCACTTGTTCACCTGTTCACTGATCTCACATGCCTTCACTTGTTCACTGATTCACATGCCTTCACTTGTTCACCTGTTCACTGATCTCACATGCCTTCACTTGTTCACTGATTCACATGCCTTCACTTGTTCACCTGTTCACTGATCTCACATGCCTTTACTTGTTCACCTGTTCACTGATCTCACATGCCTTCTCTTGTTCACTGATTCACATGCCTTCACTTGTTCACCTGTTCACTGATCTCACATGCCTTCACCTGTTCACTGATCTCACATGCCTTCTCTTGTTCACTGATCTCACATGCCTTCACCTGTTCACTGATCTCACATGCCTTCAGGTGTTCACTGATTCACATGCCTTCACTTGTTCACCTGTTCACTGATCTCACATGCCTTCTCTTGTTCACTGATTCACATGCCTTCTCTGGTTCACCTGTTCACTGATCTCACATGCCTTCAGGTGTTCACTGATTCACAGGCCTTCACTTGTTCACCTGTTCACTGATCTCACATGCCTTAACTTGTTCACTGATTCACATGCCTTCACTTGTTCACCTGTTCACTGATCTCACATGCCTTCACTTGTTCACCTGTTCACTGATCTCACATGCCTTCTCTTGTTCACTGATTCACATGCCTTCTCTGGTTCACCTGTTCACTGATCTCACATGCCTTCACTTGTTCACTGATCTCACATGCCTTCACCTGTTCACCCGTTCACTGACCTCACATGCCTTCACTTGTTCACCTGTTCACTGATTCACATGCCTTCACTTGTTCTCCTGTTCACTGATCTCACATGCCTTCACTTGTTCTCCTGTTCACTGATCTCACATGCCTTCACCTGTTCACTGATCTCACATGCCTTCAGGTGTTCACCTGTTCACTGATCTCACATGCCTTCACTTGTTCACCTGTTCACTGATCTCACATGCCTTCAGGTGTTCACCTGTTCACTGATCTCAAATGCCTTCACTTGTTCACCTGTTCACTGATCTCACATGCCTTCTCTGGTTCACTGATCTCACATGCCTTCTCTTGTTCACTGATCTCACATGCCTTCACTTGTTCACCTGTTCACTGATCTCACATGCCTCCACCTGTTCACTGATCTCACATGCCTTCTCTTGTTCACTGATCTCACATGCCTTCATGTGTTCACCTGTTCACTGATCTCACATGCCTTCACTTGTTCACTGATCTCACATGCCTTCACTTGTTGTGTGGTTAACGAAGGTTACCCCGACACACACACACCCACACACACACACACCCAAAACCCCACCCACAACCCACTTTCACAATACACTGTTTGAGGTAAACAGGGACAGGGTAGAGAGCCTCACCACTAATACACAGGTGTGAACACCTCAGTCATAAAGTCAATACTAATAAACAAACACGAATTGATTGTAAACAAACAAATATCTTTTTCAATACTGATAATTTTGTGTATCATAAGGATGTCTTGATTATGACAGGTCCAGTTCTAAATTTTTAAATTCTTGTTTCAGTTCCAGTCTGCCTGGTGTCCGCCGCCACGCCACACCACTTTTGGTGTCTCAGGGTTAGGGGACCAGCGCAAGGGTGGGGCTCCCCTGTTAGGGTCTTAGGGTCAGGGAACTAGGGCAAGGGTGGGGGCCCCTTGTTAGGGTCTTAGGGTTAGGGAACCAGGGTAAGGGTGGGACTCCCCTGTTGGGTCTTAGGGTTAGGGAGCCAGGGCAAGGGTGGTGCTCCCCTGTTAGGGTCTTAGGGTCAGGGAACTAGGGCAAGGGTGGGGGCCCCTTGTTAGGGTCTTAGGGTTAGGGAACCAGGGTAAGGGTGGGACTCCCCTGTTGGGTCTTAGGGTTAGGGAGCCAGGGCAAGGGTGGTGCTCCCCTGTTAGGGTCTTAGGGTTAGGGAGCCAGGGTAAGAGTTGGGCTCCCCTGTTAGGGTCTTAGGGTTAGGGAACTAGGGCAAGGGTGGGGGCCCCTTGTTAGGGTCTTAGGGTTAGGGAGCCAGGGTAAGGGTGGGGCTCCCCTGTTAGGGTCTTAGGGTTAGGGAACTAGGGCAAGGGTGGGGGCCCCTTGTTAGGGTCTTAGGGTTAGGGAGCCAGGGCAAGGGTGGTGCTCCCCTGTTAGGGTCTAAGGGTTAGGGGACCAGGGCAAGGGTGGGGCTCCCCTGTTAGGGTCTTAGGGTTAGGGAGCCAGGGTAAGGGTGGGAACTCCCCTGTTAGGGTCTTAGGGTTAGGGGACCAGGGCAAGGGTGGGGCTCCCCTGTTAGGGTCTTAGGGTAAGGAAACCAGAGCAAGGGTTGGGCTCCCCTGTTAGGGTCTTAGGGTTAGGGAACCAGGGCAAGGGTGGGGCTTCCCTGTTAGGGTCTTAGGGTTAGGGAGCCAGGGCAAGGGTGGTGCTCCCCTGTTGGGTCTTAGGGTTAGGGAGCCAGGGCAAGGGTGGGACTCCCCTGTTAGGATCTAAGGGTTAGGGGACTAGGGCAAGGGTGGGGCTCCCCTGTTAGGGTCTTAGGGTTAGGGAGCCAGGGCAAGGGTGGTGCTCCCCTGTTGGGTCTTAGGGTTAGGGAGCCAGGGCAAGGGTGGTGCTCCCCTGTTGGGTCTTAGGGTTAGGGGACCAGGTCAAGGGTGGGGCTCCCCTGTTAGGGTCTTAGGGTTAAGGAGCTAGGGCAAGGGTTGGGCTCCCCTGTTAGGGTCTTAGGGTTAGGGAACCAGGGCAAGGGTGGGGCTCCCCTGTTGGGTCTTAGGGTTAGGGGACCAGGTCAAGGGTGGGGCTCCCCTGTTAGGGTCTTAGGGTTAAGGAGCTAGGGCAAGGGTTGGGCTCCCCTGTTAGGGTCTTAGGATTGGAACCAGGGCAAGGGTGGGGCTCCCCTGTTAGGGTCTTAGGGTTAAGGAGCTAGGGCAAGGGTTGGGCTCCCCTGTAAGGGTCTTAGGGTTAGGGAACCAGGGCAAGGGTGGGGCTCCCCTGTTAGGGTCTTAGGGTTAAGGAGCTAGGGCAAGGGTTGGGCTCCCCTGTTAGGGTCTTAGGGTTAGGGAACCAGGGCAAGGGTGGGGCTCCCCTGTTAGGGTCTTAGGGTTAGGGAGCCTGGGCAAGGGTGGGGCTCCCCTGTTAGGGTCTTAGGGTTAAGGAGCTAGGGCAAGGGTTGGGCTCCCCTGTTAGGGTCTTAGTGTTAGGGAGCTAGGGCAAGGGTGGGGCTCCCCTGTTAGGGTCTTAGGGTTAGGGAACCAGGGCAAGGGTTGGGCTCCCCTGTTAGGGTCTTAGGGTCAGGGAACCAGGGTAAGGGTGGGGCTCCCCTGTTAGGGTCTTAGGGTCAGGGAGCCAGGGCAAGGGTGGGGCTCCCCTGTTAGGGTCTTAGGGTCAGGGAGCCAGGGCAAGGGTGGGGCTCCCCTGTTAGGGTCTTAGGGTCAGGGAGCCAGGGCAAGGGTGGGGCTCCCCTGTTAGGGTCTTAGGGTCAGGGAGCCAGGGCAAGGGTTGGGCTCCCCTGTTAGGGTCTTAGGGTTGGGGAACCAGGGCAAGGGTTGGGCTCCCCTGTTAGGGTCTTAGGGTTAGGGAGTCAGGGTAAGGGTGCGGCTCCCCTGTTAGGGTCTTAGGGTTAGGGAACCAGGGTAAGGGTGGGCCTCCCCTGTTAGGGTCTTATGGTTAGGGAGCCAGGGCAAGGGTTGGGCTCCCCTGTTAGGGTCTTAGGGTTAGAGAACCTAGATAAGAGCTTGGCACCCTTTTGTGTGTCTAAGGGAAACACTGCTAACAGGGAAAGGTGTCCTGGAATTGATGCTTGACCACTTCCCAAAACTTTAGGGATAGCTGTTTTGGGGGGGATGTCAACCTCAGAAGCAGAACAAACAGCACATATGCATGCTTACAAATTGTGACACAGTCTACTTGGCTAGTCTTTATCTATAACATGGTGAGGTGTGGTTGGTAGGGTATATAACATGGTGAGTGGATGTTAGTGATATATATAACCTGGGGAGGTGTGGTTAGCAGGGGATATAACATGGAGAGTGGAGGATATAACATGGGGAGTGGGGCATATAACATGGGGAGTGGGGGATATGACATGGGGAGTTGGGGATATGACATCGGGAGTGTGGTATATGGCATGGGGAGAAGGGGACAACATGGGGAGTGGGGAATATAACATGGGGAGTGGGGGATATAACATGGGGAGTGGGGAATATAACATGAGGAGCGGGGGATATAACATGGGGAGTAGGGGACATAACATGGGGAGTGGGGAATATAACATGGGAGTGGGGGATATGACATGGGAGTGGGGGATATGACATGGGGAGTGGGGAATATAACATGGGGAGTAGAGGACATAACATGGGGAGTGGGGCATATAACATGGGGAGTGGGGGATATAACATGGGGAGTGGGGGACATAACATGGGGAGTGGGGTATATGACATGGGGAGTGGGGCATTTTTAACATGGGGAGTGGAGGATATAACATGGGGAGTGGGGGACATAACATGGGGAGTGGGGTATATGACATGGGGAGTGGGGCATATAACATGGGGAGCGGGGGATATAACATGGGGAGTGGGGGACATAACATGGGGAGTGGGGTATATGACATGGGGAGTGGGGCATATAACATGGGGAATGGAGGATATAACATGGGGAGTGGGGGACATAACATGGGGAGTGGGGGATATAACATGGGGAGTGGGGGATATAACATAGGGAGTGGGGGATATGACATGGGGAGAGGGGGATAGAACATGGGGAGTGGGGTATATGACATGGGGAGTGGGGTATATGACATGGGGATTGGGGGATATAACAGGGGTGTGTGGTTGGTGGGGGACAGAACATTGGGAGCGGGGGATATAACATGGGGAGATGTGGTTGATGAAGGATAGAACATGGGGAGTGGAGGATATAACATGGGGAATGAAGGATATAACATGGGAGTGGAGGATATTACATTGGGAGGTGTGGTTGGTGGGGATATAACATGGGGAGTGGAGGATATAACATGGGAGTGGGGGGTATAACATGGGGAGGTGTGGTTGGTGGGGATATAACATGGGGAGTGGGGGATATAACATGGGAGTGGAGGATATTACATTGGGAGGTGTGGTTGGTGGGGATATGACATGGGGAGTGGAGTATATAACATGGGGAGTGGAGTATATAACATGGGAGTGGGGGGTATAACATGGGGAGGTGTGGTTGGTGGGGATATGACATGGGGAGTGGAGTATATAACATGGGGAGTGGAGTATATAACATGGGAGTGGGGGGTATAACATGGGGAGATGTGGTTGATGAAGGATATAACATGGGGAGTGGAGTATATAACATGGGGAATGGAGGATATAACATGGGAGTGGGGGGTATAACATGGGGAGGTGTGGTTGGTGGGGATATAACATGGGGAGTGGAGTATATAACATGGGGAGTGGAGGATATAACATGGGAGTGGGGGGTGTAACATTGGGAGTGGGGGGTATAACACGGGGAGGTGTGGTTGGTGGGGATATAACATGGGAAATGGAGGATATAACATGGGAGTGGGGGGTATAACATGGGGAGGTGTGGTTGGTGGGGATATGACATGGGGAGTGGAGTATATAACATGGGGAATGGAGGATATAACATGGGAGTCGGGCGTATAACATGGGGAGGTGTGGTTAGATGGGGGTTGAACATGGGGAGTGAGAAAGTGAATCAATGCATGTATAGATGTGAATCTCTGTTCACAAGGAGGATCGATTGAGTCACCAGAGTGTTTGACTGAATGAATCATTGAGTGAGAGTAAGTGAGTGTTTGTTCCTTCATTAGTTCTTTCTTTTCATGGTCGCTATCTGCCTGAAATAATGCTGATGCAACATTAATTTTTAACTCACTCACTCCTTCTTTTCATGGGTCTATTCACACTAAGGTAGTTCTCACTGAATAGTTCTGCCAATGAATAAAAAAGACCTAGTAAGCATATGGCAGTGCACCATTTTGGAATCTGATCCGATTGTTAACCTGAGTTACAAAAGTCGGATCAAACCAATTTAGTTTTCCTATTTTCTTCTGAATCAATGTACAAATGGGCAGGAGGCCAAAGTAAAATGCTGTGGACGTCCATTGGAGTCTCATTCCTTGACAATTAAAGCTTTTAATAAAGAAAGTGAACAAATATGTTTGTTTGTTTGTTTGTTTTAATGCCAATATTCCAGCTATATGTCGGTGGTCCGTAAATAATCGAGTCTGGACCAGACAATGTAGTGATTGACATCATGAACACCAATCCACGCTCTATGATGACATGCATCAACCAGGTCAGCAAGTCTGACCACCGGACCCCATTAGACACCCTTAGTCGCCTTTTACGGCAAGCATGGGTTTCTGAAGACCTATTCTGACCTGGATCTTAATGAAAAAATGCATGAAACTCACTCACTCACTCACTCAAGACATTTCCTGAATGGGTGGGTAACAGAAAATGAAAAACTATAATATTTTCTACAAGTAAATAACAATATTAAATTCTCTTGAAAGGACTTTACAAGGTATAGTATCTTTGGCAAAATTCATTGAGTGTACAGACAAATAATGCACTAGGTCTACGGGGCAGGTAAACTACAGTTAGTTTGTTATTTCACAGGACAGGTAAACTACCGTTAGTTTGTTATTTCACAGGGCAGGA